GGTTCTAAATGGCACTGTAGATTTGTGGAACCTCTTCTATAGAAGAGGTTAGAACTGGCAGGAACCCACCCCTGGATCGGACCCAATTCAGCTTCTGAAATGTCCTTTTGTACCAGTCTTTTTCAAAGTGGTAGCCTCCAAATGACTCCACCTCAGCATTCAAAATTCTTAAGGAACATGAGTGTAAGTCACGAGTGTCGAATTAGATTGTGTCACATGACATATTGTGACGGGGGGGTTGCCTTTGCGAAGCCGGGTTGGGCGTGGACTGTGCATGATGCATGCGGCCCACAGGCCGCCAGTTTGACAGATCTGGTGTAAGTCATACGGGCTAAGAATTATGGGAGTTTCAAACCTACACTTCTGAAAGACACTAACAATAAGGAGGCAGATCTAGATTAACACAAGCCATATTAAAGCTCAACCTTCACAGCAATATACCTGCCTAGGTTGATATTGCTGTGAATGTTGAGCTTTATAAGGTTTTATATATACCTCTGTATAAAGTTATACAGAAGTTACTTTTTCGCATCTGGGATTTTTCCAAAAATAAATGCTTGGCTAACGATGGAAACATGGCTGGTTTGCTGACTATTGTTATGGCACTAGCCTTTATTGGCATTGCTCTTCATTTGGTTGCTGATCAAGATATCTTTATGAAATGGCTACAGTTTGTCTCGTGGGCGGTCTTGTTAGCTCAGCTGGACCTGTTCTGCATTATAGTCCTGATTTCATGCTGGTTTGCAAGGTCATTCAGCAGGTGATAGGTTTCTCTGCATCTCAGCCTTGAAGGACAAAGTAAACGAGCAGCCTTTTCTAGAATGAAGCGGTTTCCCGGTTCCTTGGATAATTTCCTCTATTTCTTTTCTTTTCCTTTATGTAGTTTGTCAATGAGGGGCCCAGCGCCATCAGCGAAGGAGTGTTGGACCTCAGCTGTCCTCTCCGAGTGCAAGGACGAGCTGTACTGTACATCACCCGCTACACGGTGCAGGCAAACTGTACCTCCAGCAGCCCCATTAATCCATCACGTCTACAGGTAATAGGGGCCCCCTATGGGGGGTGGGGAGGATACAAAGGAGGAAGCGACTTGGCCTGTCCACTAAATGCTGAGACTGGAGTTCAGCTCCTGAAACCTAAAGGCACCAAGCAAGATAGTTTAGAAAATCAAAATAAAGAGGAAGGGAGCAGTAATAAATTGTAGGAGACAGCAAATTCCCCAAATTTGTCTATACATTATTTGGTTACTTTAATAATTTGCCATTTTTCCATTCAGCAATGGCAATGTTGAGCGTTGTCTTCCATCTCAAATCTTCCCCCTTTTGGTAACCTGCTTGGTTTTTTTTTGCCTGCAGGTGTTTTTTTTCCATAAATGTTTCAACAAGTAGCTTGTTTCCACAAGACATTTGCCTTTGCTCTGTGTTAGAACATGCCCAAGCCTGAGACTGAGTTGTAACAACGAGGGGGGATTTTCTGCTATTGGGAAGCCTGTATCGCACAAGAGCACTAATTCTTGGAGTCGCCCTGGCATTCAAAAGAAGGGCCTTTTCTGACTGGCAGCTGTATTACAATACTTTGCAAAGATACCCTTTGATACCTTGAGCTAATCACACCACAAGGAATGCCTCTGTTTAACAGGCCATGGAGAACTGTATTAACCTAATCAACAAGACTACAATTGGTAGCTACAGAGAATTAATTTATGAAAATTCACATTTGCAATCTCTCTCTCCCCCTCCCTCCCTCTGTTTAGCTGGAGCCACCTCCAACACCTCCTTCTGGGCAGGAGCAGCACTATGTGCAGAAGCAAGATGGAGTATGGAACACGGGCAACATTGGAGGCACTTTCCCTCTGGTAAGCCCCACATCATCATTTTAAGAAACGTCTTCAAAACACAAAGTTGTGCTCCGTATCTTTGATACCCTTACGATGTGTTTAGGACCAACCTAAAGAGCTGCACTAATATTTCCTTACACCACAGTGTTTTCTCATTGTTTTTGTCGACATCGTCGCCCCCCCCCCCCCCAGAGTCCATGGAAGTTGGGTGGCCAATAAATTTAAATTTAAATAAATAAGTTACATAAATAAATACACGTGGAAGATGGTTTTCAAAAAGCAGCACTAAATGCATTTTGGTAGCTTATTTTCAAATCTAATCATGATCCTTTGTTTGCCATAGTCTTCAAAAGTAAGATGCATCCATAATGCAGAGAAACTTAGGTCTAATGTCCTGATTCACATTCCCTTGGTTTTAATAACTTCTCCATTCTGTCGTCCTCGAGAACTTAGACTGTAATTCTTATTTGTTGTATTGTCTGGGAATTCTGAGATATAATCCAACGTGCAAGAAGGTCAAGTAAGGCCAGACATTCAGGTTCACAAAGATGCTTGGCCCAAATTCTGCCTTGGAGGTAACTAAAGGTTGATGAGATATGTTCATCCAATGTCTCATTTGACCATTCAATGTTCTTGCGCTGCAGAAGTGTAATGAGGATGAATGTTTCCAACTTCACTGCCGCATGGGAGCATTGCAACGGCTACAAAGTGTCAGCTTACTCCTCTATTTTCGCATCTGGTCCAAAAGCTTTCAACAGGTAAACTTATTATATTTTTGGTGTTCATCAGACCTCAATTGTTTGGGACAAATTGTGTGTGAGAGAAAGAGGGAGAGGGAGGGAGAGAGACTCATATATTTGGTATTCATCAGGCTTCAATTGTTTGGACAAATTTTGTGTCTGTCTGTCTTTTTTTCCCCACCTTCCTTACTGTTATTCTTGGTTGTAGCAGTAGCTGGCACAGAAATGAATGAAAGTTAAAGGAATGGAATAACTCAAGCTAAAAGATCACAGTTGCCCACCTCTGATCTATGTACACACAGAAAAAAATGTAATAATCCCAGCAGAAAAATAACGGCCTGCTCCTTCCCCTTCATTTTGTACAAGTGTTAGCTTTCATAGTATTAAGCATTTGGGAATGGGATACTTAATTCCTCCCTATTAAAGTTCTTTCACTTCCAGTACATCTATCCAACCCAACATTTGTGCAGAACCATTTCTCATGATTCTTTCCCCACTTGCAGAAAGAGAACTATCCTCAGGCTATCCAGTGTGACGCTGTTTACCATATGCAAAAGGTGCCCTACAAAATCCAGCCTCTAGAGCTCCCCACCATTGATCTGAAGGTCAGTATTATCGGTTAGAATAGAAATATTCTGCCCTTATGAATACCAATTCTTCCAAGAGGATTCCAATTTACATTAAGAAAATTACGAGACATTTTGCCACAACAGAGAGAGCGATTGGGATCAGCTCAACTCAGAGAAACAGGTAGCTCTTAGCTCTGAATGGGCGGGGTCAGTCCAGCTTGGATATTTTCTTGAAAAGTGGATAAATGAAAGTTATAGTAAGAAGGACACAAGTGGAGTAGGCTAAGTTATTTTTCCTCTTATAATTCAGGTGTTGGATTGCCTGGTGAGGCTGAATGATGTGAAACCTAGGATAACTAAAGAAGGCTAGCCTCTTTCTAATGGCCTATTTTGAAATTTATGAGACTGACATACCTGGCACCCTGGTGGATTTAGGATGCTTTATTCTTGCTTATTTATTAGAGAGGTGTAGTGGCCTAGTGGTGAATACTCTTACCTCCTATTCAAAGGGTTGAGAGTTCAATCCTAGGTAGTAGCAGATTATCTCCTAGGAGGCAAAGTAAAAATACCTGCATATGGCATCAGGTATGGCATCCTGGTAAATGCTCAGCTCGATTCAGTTTCCCCAACACTACCCCTTATTAATGGATTACAGAGTCATAAAGGGAAGTTTATTCTTACTTATTTGATTTACAGTATATCCCATCTTTGCTTCTGTACAGCTCAAGGCAGTGTACGTAGTGTTTCCTCCTCCTATTTTCTCCATAACAAGAGTCATGCTCTGAGATACTTATTTACTCATACCACATATGGTAAAATTATTCATCTTATGTACAGGTCCTTGTAACATTTTGAAGAATGACTTATAGTATATATGTTGATCCAACAGACTTAGATGCTACCAATGTAACACCTTCAATTACAACTTTTGGAT